TGTACTAGTAACCTTGATACTCCTGCCATGTAAGTATAAGCATGTCAAGATTATCGACATCTAAATTATTGATCGATGAATGAAAAAAAGAAATCATGCTAGAGTTGGATATCACACACTAAGAGGTGTTGAAAGACTGAAGGTTGAATGTTTAATCGATATTATGTAAAGGAAATATACAAAAGATTGCATACATGTGAACTGGATCAATCATGAGTATGTATATCTAGAAAAAAATATAACATTCATTAATTAAGTTCTTGTTCTTTCTTTCTATCGTTTGAGAAAGAGAGAGAAAAAAAAAGGAGATTTGGGCACTTATTCATTATTCATGATTAGTAGTATGACAGCAGTATTGTGCTTAAGATTCTTATTATAGTTGAGGCTTTTTACTCGAAGATTTAGACAACATTTCATTGATAGACAGAGCACATCTGATCTTCATTTACACCATAATGTGTCAGAATAATCTAACGACATTTTAGATATTATTTACTTTTTTCTCGACATCCGTCCAATAGTTGGTTATTCGTATATATGATGTTACATGAATAAAAAAAGAATATTTTTCTGCTAAAAACAAACTATGGATGACACGTAAGTATACAACAATTACCCCTATCAATCTTACGAACTATTTATTCTATTCACCTAACTAAAATGACAAACTTATCGATTGAAATCTAAACTATGTGACGTTTGTCATATATGACAAAGTTGGCCTTGTCGGTTTTGACTGGTGATGGTATGGCAGCAGGCGTTTACATATCATGTCAACTAAATTGAGGAATACAGAAAAATCTATTACATGATACTTATCTCGTTGTTAAGCTCATATTTCAAGGAAAGGATAAAAATCATCAGCACATTCATCTTTGTCAGTTGAGTTAAAGCAAATATGAAAAAATGAGCCAGATTAATGTTATTTTGTTATCTTTGTGTAAAAATATTTTGATAAGTATAACGAAATACTGGATTTTTTTTGTCGATAAGCATGCATCAATCTATCTCTTTCATCTTTTATCATTATTATAACAACAATAAAATCTAAGAGCATCAACTCGGAACAAGTATTCTTCAGTTAAATTTAATCCTGATTTTATATCATTACATATGAACATTAACTGAAAATAAATCATCTATATAATTTTAATATTCTTTTTTTTTCTATTTAGAAATAAATTCATACAAGTTTTCATTTCTTTCAGTTTTTTTTAATATATTCTTATTCATTAAAAAAAACATTGTAATGTTTACTGGCATGTAAGCAAGAGTGGAGCAGGGGGTAAATAGTGAAGGGAGTGGAGAAAGTAAGAAAGTATGCAATATAAAATGTGAGCAAAAGTGATGATTGGGGTTGATAATTAATTGGTGCTTATGAAAAAGAGAGAGAAAAAAATGCAAAAAAACCTAAAAGAGCTATTATTGAATGTAGGATAGGCATCTAAGTGTATATATATATGTATGAGTTAATATGCTGGGAGATTTGTACGATTACGATGAATCTTTTTTTTTTTTGCTTTTTTTTCACATATTCAATGATGTTCATCTATGAAGCGTAGCGATCATAATTTTTCGTGTGCCTGTCACTATGCAATAGATAACATCAAACTAGCTGTAATTTTTTCTTTTACTTTATACAGTGGCAAGCTTCTTGACACCTGTCTTTTTTCTTTTTGCGAAATAACTAAAATAGTCCATCGTTGTCGTTCTATTGTATATATTTTTTGTTCTCTTTTCTTTTCGGTAAGATTGATTTCTGAGGCTTATTATGTGGTTAGAGACACTATCCAAACATACATACACACATACACTCTTATCAACCGTACCACACACACACATTCGCGAAAAAAAAAACGAACAACAGCGGTTTTTTTGTGTATTCTCTCTTCTCTCTCTGTCTTAGGGGTTGTTTCTTTTTTTTTTTTCATATTTTCCATTTTTCCCTCTCTCGTTTTCTCTTAGTGTCTCTCTCTTTCTATTTTACATAAAATTGTCTCGTTGTTTTCTTTTTTTCTCTCTCACGGGAGTGTTGGTGACGAATATTGCTTTTGCTTTGCTAGTATTCTTGAATCTTATTTATTGTATCTACAGCGTCACCATCATTGGACAGTAGTAATAATAATAAGGGTAAGTGAAGAAACGCAGTTATTCGCATGTGACACACACGTTTTCAAAACAGACAGTTCGAGGATAGATTGCATTAAGATTATCATTGCTTTTTTCACTTTTATAATAAGCAGACGGACAGATATACATATATATATATATTTTTGTTAAATGTCATTTTGTAATGACGCTGAAATTGACGAGAAAAAGATCTATTTATAGCAATTTTTTTGAATTTCTAGTTCAATTATGACGAGGTTATTACTCGTAACTATTCTTATATCATTATTATTAAATATAATTGATTGTCGTTATGCTGAATGGGAAGAAATAAAACCATATTGTGGTGCTCGTCCAAATCCTCAATGTTGTATCAGTCGTGATGATGATTGTTTTATGCCATATTATGATTCTCGTTGCTATTGCGATAAATTTTGTTTTCGTGGCATTGATAATCATGATTGTTGTCCCGATCATGATGCTGTATGTGGAGGAGAATCTCCTCAACCACCACCAACACGTCCACCACCACCTCCACCAGAAATTCGTTCATGTTATGACTCAGCAACTGGTCGACAATATCAATTAGGACAATCATTTTTACAAGATTGTAATTTATGTCGATGTATAACACTTGGTTATCAAACAACATTATCATGCGAAGAAGATCTTTGTGTTAATAGTCCTGATCTATTATCATATGTTAATAATCAACAACCATATCTTGGTTGGAAAGCTTCAACATATGATAAATTTAATGGTGTTAAAGTAAAAGATGCATTGAAACATTATCTTGGTACAATACAAGATCGTAGTTTACGTAATATGGTTGATAATGCACCTGATGATCCAAATGATTATTATCGTATGGAAGATGTTCATGCATTCGATTCACGTACACATCCAAACTATGCCGGTAAAATTCTTGGTATCCGTGATCAAGGTAAATGTGGTATATCATGGGCATTATCAACTGTTGATGTTGCTTCTGATCGTCTTTCACTTGTTCAAAATATCAAACAACGAAATGAACCATTAAGTGTACAAAATGTTTTATCATGTACAGATAATGAAGCTAAAGATGGTTGTGATGGTGGTCGTGTTGCATATGCATGGGGCTTTATAAAAGATCGTGGTGTTGTTACTGAAGGTTGTTATCCATATGAAAGTGGTACAACAGGTAATATAACTGAATGTAAATTTCATTTAAGTGATAGTGATTTACAAAATATTGCACAACATCGTAAATTATCAAATATTCGTTGTCCATCAAGAGGTAATGGTGACCACTTTAATTTTGGTCCTGCTTATCGTGTTCGTGATGAACCACTTTCAATTAAATATGAAATACATTTTCGTGGACCTGTACAAGCAACAATGCGTGTTACACCTGAATTTTTCTTATATAAATCTGGTGTTTATCGTTGTGGTGGTTCAAGTTATGATCATCAAAATCCACGTTATGCTAACTTGGCTGCTTATCATTCAATTCGTTTACTCGGTTGGGGTACAAGTATTGATCCACGTACACAACAACAAGAAAGTTATTGGATTGCAGCTAATTCATGGGGTACTGGATGGGGTGAAAATGGTTACTTTCATATCCATTTTGGTGAATGTGAAATTGAAGAAACAGTTATTGCAACATATGGTAAATCAACTGACGTTTTTAAACGAAAGAATAAACGCCAATAAAACAAAATATATTCAATTAAAAAAACTTTTCTCCCTCATTTTTATTTCTCATTTTTCTTTGATTTTATTTGTGCAGTGATGCCTTGAACAGTCAATATATATGTGTGTTTTTTAGTGTAAGTTTTGTCCTCTCATAGTTAGTTTTTGATATAAACAGGTTTTATTCTCATATATATATATACATGAATAATGAATTATAATTATTATTATTTTTCTTTTACTTGATGTTGAGTTTTGATATTGATTAAGACCTTGAATAAACGACGCAGTTGGACGAAAAAATCAATGTATATTATCATTGATTTCATCGACAAATGGGGTAGGTAACTTGTTTTTTTTTATTCCGTTAAGCAAAAAATCCTTTCTTTTTCTTTCTTATCATTTCAACAAAATAGTCGAATAGTAGTGATCATCATTCATGGTGATGGCATATCTTTGTCAATTATCTATCATTCCATTGTAAAAATAAGGAGGAGTAGTATTTCTCATGTTTCTTTCGACTTAGCTGCACGTGTACGATACGGTAAGATTAATTTCATAATGTCGAAAGCAACTTGTTGTTGTTATTTGTTATGCATATGTTTATGTCCGTCCTTCTTTTCTCTTTTCTTTTTTTTTTTTTTTGTTGGTTCTACCGACGGCTTTTTTATATTGATTTGATCGACCTTGCTACAATTGCCATCCATTATTTGTGTTAATCCCGTTTCGCTCATTTGATAGGCGCAAAACAAACATTTTCAATGTCAAAGTCTCGGTTTGGTTGAAGCATCGTTTTAAAAAAATTGAAAAAGATTAGAAAAAAGTAGCATTTAAATGAATTTGACTGTAAAGAAAAGGTTTTATGTTTAGACTATCATCCATTCAAGGTAAACACAAAGTTTGTTTGCCGATTCTACTGCTATGCATACACATGTAGTCATTAAGAAGATGATTGACAAAAAGAACAAAAACCTTGATTTGATTGGATTCAAGAACGATTGAATGGATTCAGCAAGGGAGGGAGCTCAGCTATTCTCATTTTTGTTTTCAAGCATGTATATATAGAATATGACATAAAAACAAAAAAGAAGACGAAAAAAAAACGAAATTCATTAAGTTTTTCAAAAAAAAAAATAATTGAAAACAATTTAATCTTCTCCTGTTTTTTTTAATATTGAAGTATGCATTATTAAAATAATAAAAATCACCGTTATTAATTAATCATCCAGTTGACAAAGTGCAGCAACACCGCGATTTATCCAATGTCGTTTTGTTCTATCTGATGGAAGTTCTATTAAAAGTACGAAGTTTGTTGAATGACCTGTTGTACTAAGTACACCACGTCTAGCACTTGTCTTTAAAAATAAAAATAAAAAAAAAAACATTTCATAATACAAATCATAAAAAACAACAACAAAATCATATACCTTATAAACAGGACATGAATATGTATTAACTACTGCAAAATTTTCCATATTACCTGGTCTTAACCATATTATAGGTAAAACATCAAATAAAACTTTTGGTAAAGACTCATCTAGAACACGAGTTGTTTTATTCCAACGAGCACCTTCAAGAAAAAGTCCTTTTATATATGCACCATCTTCTGGTTTATGAGCCATATCATTATCTTCTTGTAAGATATCAAATTCAAAAGCAAGTTTATCAATTGGTATTGTATATTTTCGAGCATAATTTTGAAGAACACCTAAGTTTAAAAAAGCTTTTCTTTTGAGTATTAAAGTAAATGTTTTTTTAAACTTACCGGTTAAAAATGATTGCGTAAAAAAGAAACCACTTATCCAAAAAACATTCGGTGGTCCATTTTGAATCCATGTTTGTAAAAATTTTAATCTTAAATAACAAAATATTTCAGTTCAAAAAGAAAAAGAAAAAATCTTTTTTCTTTACTTACCGAGCCATTAAATCATTTAAATAACTTCCTAAGGGTTTTAATGATGGATAAGATTTAGCTGCCCATGCATTTGGTACTTTACCAACAAACATTGCATTAAAAACTTCTTCAAGTTCAGACGACATTAATACAAGACCTTTAATTGCTTTCCGTAAATCAACTAATGTTTTTCGAACTTCAGATGTTAAACGATTATAACGAATAATTTCTTGTCTTAATACTGTATTCATTGATTCATTATAAAGAACAGGATATTTTTTACCAATCTATATATTACAAAAATCAATAATAACAGATAACGAATTCCTTCACTTACAGTTTCTGTATCAAAATCAGCTGGTAATTTACTAAGAATATCAGCGGCTAATTCATCAATAACAACTGATGGTGTTCGACCTTCACCACCTGATGTTTGTTTTGGTAATGTAAGAAGAATACTATCAAAAAGCTAAAGAGTTGTAAAAAAAAAAAAAAAGTATAGATCATTTTTTTTCTTTTGAGATTTTGAAATTAATTTAATACGAACTGTTTGTGTTTCTTGTTGATCTTTTGTAATATCAGCATTGGAATGAAAACCATATACTTCTGGTAATGGATTTAATGGTAATGTTCGAATATAATCGACATAATTTTGATGTGAACCATCTGGTGGAACATAATAAGTACCACTTTCGGAAAATCTAAATACAAAGATTTAATGCATATTTTTTTTCTTATATTTAAATTTTATTATTTTATTATTTGTTAGTCAAAAGGTTTTCTTTATTTTGTGTATTATTGAAAAAAAAAGAATCGTTTTTCGTTAACCAACTTGAGCCCAAGATGGGCGTTTCTTAATTAAAATTGCTCGTTTTCCAACAGTTGCCCAACTCGGACGTTTGAAACGTTTATGAGTTGTTGATAAACTTTTTGTTTGACCAATAAATGGATATAAACGTGATATATCTTCATATTTATTTGTTGATGGAATATTATTAGCAAGTTGTTCAAGATAATCATCTTGACTATCCTCATCAATGAGCTGACTTGTTGATGATGAATCTGTATTTGGTATTGTTGGATTTTCATTAACAACTAATTCACATGGACATCGATTAGCCATTGTTAATGAGAATAAAATGAGCAAAAATGTTAAAAATATGAATGTATGATGAATCATTTTTATTCTTTGAACTAGTATGATCAAATCAGGAAAATGATAGAAATGAATGTATGAAGATATATTTAAATGAGAAAAAAAGAAAATGATTAATTATGTGTAAGTGCATAAGAACGGCAAACAGGTCGTCTGTTTATTACATCTTCAAAATCATCGATCATATTTAAAATGTGTCATTTTGTGTGGTTGGGAATTGATTTTTTCATTAATCAATTGTCCTCGAGAAAATTGATTTCAATGAATTTTCATCCGAAATATATGAACGCATGAACAATAATGACAATTAACAGATCCTTCACATCTTGTTTATTTCAATCAAAGTTTTTTTTTCTTGTTTGCATAATTTTTTCCCTTTATTATTGCATTTATTATCATCTTATTCTCCTACGCTAATTTTTTCTTTTTCAAAAATAATTATGAATTTTGCTTACTGGTATTTATCTGCATTTACCACATCAGCATTGATACAAACAGATAATAACGAAAGAAGCAAACGACGGTCTTTATCATCTGTAACACGACCACCATAATTACATTCGCCAACTAAATATGATATCTAATAAAGATTATACAGAAAAGATATATTTTGGAATAAACAGATAAAGAAACATACCGCTTCTAAGGGCAAGTCCTCGTAATCGTTAAGAAACATCTGAAGTTGTCGTAAAGAAATTCGAAGATCGGATTCACTAAAATCAATATAAAATCAATTATCATAGAATCTGTCTTATTTTATATCAACGCTTTATTTTTTTTTTATGATTGTAGAAAGATATATTTTTATTTTTAACTTACTCAAAAAAATATGGAATATTCCCTAAATTAAAAACAAAAACATCATAAATCATCATAGATTTCAATTCAAATATAAATCTTACATCCTAATGGACCAAATTGTCTTCGTTCTTGTACAAGACCATGAAAAAAACAAAGACCAAATAAAAGTTTTCTCCATCTTTCTGGTTTATTACAATCATTAAAAAATGTTTGATCATTAATTGGATCATTTAAATATGAACGAAGTAAATTAGCTCGTAAGCCTTTTGGACTTTCATTAGTCATTTTAATACCATTTTGTAATATAGTGACAGGAAACAGATCCGATGGATAAGATGTTAACCAGAGACGGAAATCATTATGAACTTTACCTGGTACTAGAAGTTCTTCACATATACGCTCTAATTTTGGCATCCAACTTGCAGCTAAATGACAATTTTGTAAAACAACCCAAGTACCTTTTTGTACGCCTTCTGTTATTAATGATTGAGCATAAGGACCCTAGGATAAATTAGAAAATTAAAAAAAGAAATTCTTTAAAATATTGAAAAACATATTATTATTTAACACATTCACCACGATGTGGCCCACCGGTGGGCCACGCTATATTTTAAGAAGGAACTGTATAGAAAAATACCTTCTTTTGCTTTTTTCTTAGGCAGGAAGTTAAACGATATATGTCATACACCTTACCTTCAACATCTTTTGAGTTCTTTGTTCCGTAACATGATGCTTCTTGTTAAAACATTCAAGACAAAAAAACTTAATCAAAGTCAGCACATAAAGTTTTTACTTTCTTTGCTGCTGTATAGCTCGATTCCCTTGATTTTTACTTCCTGGCTTGTTCATAGCAACCAGTTCAGCGTCTGCGAACGTTGTGCGCAGATCCTTTTATTTCCTC